TTCCTATAGTTTCTTTTGGTAAAATAAATTAAATTTAGTTTTTTCTTTTGTTGTTGGCAGAGTATAATAACTACTGTCCCTGCTGTAGGTCTTACATTTTGTTCATATAATCTCTCATACAGCATTAGCCAGCAGCTCAGAAAAAGTCCTGCTGAATTACTTTTGCAAGTCTGAGTGGCATCATTTTACCAGCATTGTCTGTACTAGAAATGTGCAGCAGTTTCTGTGAATATATCCCTAGCCCTATACAGAGTCTGATAGTGAATTTGCTGTTCTATCTTCCCTCTCCAGAAATTTGTCAGTTGCCTCTGATTAAATAAGTAATAACACTTTGGCAAGTTTAGAGAATGTAGTGGTCTTAGTGAGCTGATCATCTATAATAGGCTAAGGACTTTAATGCTGTACACTAGTAACCCACAACTGCACACAAAGTCTGGGTGGGGGGAGAGGTTGTCTGCTTGTCAGATTTATTTGAGCTCCCTCTCTTGAAAGGGACACCAGGGCTCCTGTGAGGGGATCTAAATGCTGAATCTATAAGCAGCCAGAGTCTGAATGGAGTCCAGGCCCTGTCCCTGGCTTGAGGTCTCCATGTATGTTCTCAGCATGCCAATCATCAGTCTAGCACAAGGGTGGGTAAACTTTTTGGCCTGAGGGCCGCATCAGGTTTTGGAAATTGTATGGAGGGCTGGTTAGGGGAGGCTGTGCCTCCCCAAACAGCCAGGTGTGGCCTGGCCCCTGCCCTCCCCTCTCCCTGCTTCTTGCCCCCAGGACCCCTGCCCCAGCCAACCCCTCCTCTCATTCCTAGCTGCCCCATCCAACCATCCCTTCTCCCTGACTGCCCCCAGAACCCCTGCACCCATTCAACCCCCCTATTCCCTGCCCTCTATCCAACCCCACGTGCTACAGCTATGTCACCGGGTCAGGCCAGGCTCTGCAGCTGCACTGCCCAGTCACTCAGAGCATTGCGCCAGTAGCACAGAATGCAGAGGCTATGGGGGACGGGGTCAGGGGGCTAGCTTCCTGGAGAAGGAGCTCAGGGTTTGGGCAGGAGGCTCCTGCAGGCTGGATGTGGCCTCTAGGCCATAGTTAGCCCACTTCTAGTCTAGCACTACCCAGGAGAGCTGAGACCCCCCTCCCAGAACACCACCTGCATGAGGGCTCTGGGTTTACAATTTCTCTTCAGGGGCACAATAAATGTAACAGCACAGCACTCTGCACAGGATTCTAAAACACCCTTGCTCTTTACTTAAAAGCATGAGAAACAGGTACTTAAAATAAAGGGTTTATTTCCCTTCCTTAACATGCTTTAGGGCTCAGTAACCAGAATTTCTTTTGCAGCAAGATGGGTCAGTCTCTTTCTCCAGGGCTGCATACTTTGAGCTCAGTTGATCCCATAGCTAAACCAGGCCCCCCCTAAAAATATGCTTCTGCCCAAAACTTCATATCCCAAGAGTGCTTTTTACGCTCCAGCGGTCCCTTACAGCATCACTTGCTCTAACTGCTTTCTTAACACCTGTCCACTGAGGCATTCAAAAATACAGCATTTTGTAACAGCTTTAGAATGAACACCCCCACACACACACCCCTATAGCCAACAGGTATAAGATTTAAAATGAAAGGAGACCCAAACTACCTCTGATTGAACTCACAGTGAAACCATGTTTACAAGCCTACCTTCCCTGAAACTTAGTTCTAGTTGTTCTAGCTGAGAGCAGCACCAAGTAGGGAGCTAGAATTTTAGCAAACCTTTCCAACAGCTTACTGTGTACAGCAGAACAGATAGGACACTCTAGAATAGGTAAGTTTGCAGATGTGCCTAAATTAGGCGTAGTCAACTTTTTTCCAAAAGTTAGTTCTTAAAATCCATGTTCTTGTGCGTAAGTGATCTGTTTCCCCATCTGTGGATTAGTCAGTCCTACTTCATATTCAAAGTTAGCTGTTACTCCAGGAGGGTGCAGGGTCTTAGTATTACACCCCTCTATGCTATGGCTGAGGCTTGTGGCACACAGTCTTAGGGATTCTATTTCTCTCCCCCCTCAAAACATTAACACCTCATAGATTCCAAAGCCTGAATGACTCCTGTCCATTTAAGAAGAACAGCTCAGTTGCTTGAGCTAAAACAAATTCAAGTGGGGAAGCTTTGGCTTTTGTGTTTGTTTGTTTTGTTTAAGTCTAAAACTAGTATTTAGTAGAATCAAAAAAGTGCTACAGCAGCTCCCAAGCTTAGAGCAGAGAGTACATGGCTAGAAGCCAGCGTAATCTGCTTTAAGAGTAAAAAGTAACAAACGTAGGGGACATTTCAAGTGTTACTTACATACCCACTTAAGGTCCACAGTGAAGGTCTCTCAGATCTTTGTTATTTAGAACATTCACTGAAGAGAGCTCCATATTACAAAAGAAAAACAAAACCACTACCAACCCAACACCTTGGAAGAGTGCTCGCGTGCCAGTATTCAAAGACAAGTATGATAACACCAGTATACAGGCTTGACATGAATCCAGAGCAAATTACCAAATGAATTCTGAATCAACTTTTCTAAAGAATTAAAAGGACAGGAATACAGTTGCCACCGTTTTATGGAAAATAGATTTTGCCAAACAAACCTAGAAACGAGACGGTGCGGAAACGAGCCACGTTATTTGAGGGCTGGAGAAAATGTGTTACAGTGAGAAAATTAGCGTCCAATCTGTTTAGCTTATCAAAAAAAAAATGAGGAGGCTATTAAATTTTAAGTAACTGCACAGGGAGAAAAATAGCAGGTACTAAAGAGCTCTTAAATCTACCAGAAAAAGGCATAACAAGAACCAATGGCTGGAAGCCAAAGTCAGATTTAAATTAGACAATTTTTTAAACAGTGTAAGGGTCATTAACCACTGGAAGACGACCAAAGGGAGGATTCTTTGTCTCTTGGAATCTTCGGCTCAGGACTGGATGCCTTTCTGGAAGATGTGCTTTAGCCATACACAAATTATTAGGCTCCCTACAGGGGTAACTCTGTGCAGTTTACTGACTTGTGACATACAGGAGGTTAAAATAGATGATCTATTAATTGTCCCTTCTAGTCTAACTCTAAACAGGGTGACAATTCACAGGAATTGGTTATGTCAAGACTTCATCCCAGCACTATGGTGATTATACATTGCAATTCACTTAGGGACAGCTTCAAGTTTACCTTTTCTAAACAACATACACGCAAGCAGACATGTACCAGGAACCAAATGGAAGAATAAGAAAAGCTGAGCTTGTGTGAAAACAGAAGTTTAAACAGACAACATTAGGAAATATTTTTCAGCGAGTAATGTTTAAATCACTAGACATAGCTTGGAACCGTTCTTTTCTTGAAAGCTGAGCTGTGTAGGACTAATGACGGGGGGGAGGGGGAGCAGGAGGTGATGTTTACGGTTGGTTTGCAACATCTCACTTAAATTATTCTTTACAACCAAAAATCTACCTTTTGACCTGAACAACAGTTCCTGGGTAGGCCTAAGCCATTTGCTATACATCTAATTTTAAAGGTCTTTTGAAAATTAAGCAAATCCAGTACATTTCTAAGACTACAGTCTTCTTTCTTAGTCTGTTGACTGGAGAGTAGCAAGTGTACTTTGCTCTCTGAAAGAATTACTCGCCTATGTTAAATATATGCAGAGTTAAGAGTTTTATAAAAAGTTTATTAAAACATAGCTTTATAAAGATTGCCTTGGATATAGACATATTTACAAATTCAAAGATCTGGTTAGCTACCTGCCGACTCTTTAAGACAGCTTGATATCACAACTAAATTTCACTTAGTGCTCCTGTCTTTACTTTCTTTGGTTTATTTCTCCTTCCCTTCTCTACTGCACACCTGCATGTCCCACCAGCCTAAGATGCACTGTCCACTTTTTTGTTAAACAACTTTTTCAGTTTGTCAGCTTAGTTTTTTCCTCCTACCAAGTATAGCGTTTTCATTTCTCTTACAGGAATATCTTCCTTTTCAGGAGTTCATTGAGGAGGAAAAATTTACTGCACATTCTAGTGTCTCTACAATCAGTAGTGAGAGATTTCCAAGGAAATGTAGTAAGTCTGCTCTGAACAGAGAAGTGGGGATAAGTACAATTTTTATATACCTTGGAATACAGCTTAGGTTGACTCGTGTGTGTTTCTGTCTATATTTTAAAGAGAAGCTCCTAAATTCAGAAGAGATTCCCTTCAGTCAGTATATCGTTTCACCTGCTGCTAGCTTCTTGTACAGACAGTGCAGCTTATCTGGTCTAGGTAACTCAGCATCGGGGGTTGAAGGGATTTCAAAGTCAGAGGAGCTCTGAGAGTCTCTTTCTAATTCTGGATTAGGAGTCTTCGATTTCTCATTATTTACTTCAATTAGCGTGTTTTGCGTTTGAGCAGCACCAGCTTCTGCATTCATCTCTTGGTTTTTCCCTTTCAAATCAGAGTCATTACCTGGGCAAGGTGTATTTTGGTCCAAAGGCTTCCACCTAGGGGATTCAGTTTGATTATCCATGGCCATGAAATGTGACACAGAAACTGTTACTCTGTTCCCTCCTTTGTTCAAAAAGCTGAAATCCACACCATGTGTCTGTTGGGAGGTGATGAGTACTGTGTCTGCTTGGCTGTCCAAGCCCTGGCTCCCCTGCTCCGATATGTGCGTTGACTGAGAAGAATTTTGTGAGGAGATGTGGGTAGAATCACTTAAACTATCTGAATCACTGAACAAGTTTGGTGACTGGGACCTACCAGCATCTATGGAAGATGGGAGATGGTCCTCGTTTTCAGAACTATCATCTGTAGTTTTAATATCTCGCTTAAAGAAAACATCCCACTGTGGCATATCTGCATTAGACTCCTGCTGGCCACTAGTCAATGCACAGGTCAAATCCGAATGGGCTTTTTCATTTGGATTTCCCAGTATCGAAGTGGAGTCTGGATTGTGGGCTACAACTTGAGCCCAAACTGTATTTTTTTCAGATTCTTCTTCATCATCATCTTCACCATTTGATTCCTCACAGTCTATGAAGTCTACCTGCGAAGACATAGGCATAGTGGTTGCTTTGTAATTTCCCATGTTCTCACTATGGCTTCCTTCAGAGTTTTCAGATGACGCTTTTGTCTCAGGCAGCGTTGTCTCCACTTGATGTTTTGGAATCTTATACCTTACAGGAGTCAATTCTGTATCGAAGAGATCATCACTGCCCTCATCTGTCAAGACAAGAACAACAATGAGCAGTCTCAGAGAATTTAGCAAAGGGATTTATAGGGACTACACAAATTCGGTCAAATATTTATACACAAATTCCATTACTTAAAACAGAGTTCTATCTATAGATAGACACCAAATCAATCAATTTATCATGCCTGGGGAGGATTGTGCAGATCTGTATTAATCTTAACATGTAGTAAATAAACACTTATCACAATCATCATCGTTGGCCAATGGGTACAATTGGTTCCTTGTGTTGAGTTGTAGCATTTTAATGGACAAGACTACCCTCACTTTAGTGGGGTTGCCCCAGGTATTGGTAGTTGTCATAAGTATTTGTAGGATCAGCCCTGTTGTGGGCACAGAACAAGCAATCACTGTCTCAGAAAGCAGTTTCAAGAGAACAGGTGTTGCATTCACTAGCTAAAAGCTTATTTTGCTTGAGTGAGCACAGGAGGAAAAAAAAAGTTGCTTCCCCCCCACCGCTCCTTAACGTATCTAAAAGGACTGCATGTCTTGTCATGAGGGACACAAATTTGGTCAAATTTGTGCGCAGCGTCCTTTAGTCACAGATAGAATTGAAATCTATTTGGAAAGGTCATACAATTGGGGAGTTTGATAAATAAAAAGCTTTACTTAAGAAAACTTAGGTATTTCAACTGTGAACTAGCTTTTAACAAGCTGCAGTACAGAGTACAAGCTATGAAAGCAGGGGCAGCCCTTAAATATAGCCTTTGAAACACTATGGTGTGGAGCAGATACAGTATTCGTCTTTAAAAGCTGCTGCTGTTCCTGATTGTAACTCCCATTTCACAAGTACCAGGATAATAATTATGGGTCGAAGAGCTGCATTCATGCTAAACTGAGAGAATGGTTTTGTAACTGGGAGCACCGTAAGTCACTGTAGTTCAAATAATGTTGGAATTATTTTTAATACATCAAGATAAAAGTTACCTCATCTGGCCAGACACTTTAGAACCTGCAGCAGTAGTTGAGTGCACTGTCAGGGTTAACCTCAATCACTGGTTTTCTGTTTTATAAAGATTCAATCCTCTGTTGACCTGGCATTACCTGAAGCCCAACTTCATTTGAATCTATATTTTCCCCTTTCCAAGGGCATTTATACAGCACCTATCAGGAGTAGCGACATGCTAAAGAGTCAACAAAACAGTGTTTCAGATCTGTTTGTCAGTGCTTGTTTGCTACCCTGTGCTTGATCAGATGGAGGTGGCCAGAAATATCACTTTCAGCTGACACTGGGATTACAGTAGCAGGTCCATGCATGCTTCACTGACCCAAACCTGTCTCCTTTGCTATAATCATCCATCCCTCTTTCCGTACCTGCGTCTGTTAAGTCCATTGTTCTGGATCTCTTCAGTGTTCCAAGCGGTTTATATTTGGGCTCGCTATTTATACTGTATGACTTGCATAGTGGCTTTAAGCTGATAAAACAAGGAAAACAGATCTTTAGAACTCTTCAGACATGGAAAAATATTATGCGAGAAGATCAGGAGCAAAATTAAATTGGTTAATTCTTTCAACACCACTGCTTCATGCCTTTCATGCTAGCTACTAAAAAAAGGTGCTAAAGTTACTGATGATATTAGGAGCTGAGGTAAAAATGTATAGCTTTCTTGATAGGCTGCATGCAGTTCAACAGGATCACCGGGCAGCACTCCTGATGCTATCAAGTTAAATGCATTTAAGTGTGCACCAGCCACAAAGGTAGGGCAGGCAGAAAGGAAGATGGGAATTCAAGACAGACTTTGGAGAAACTCAATGCTGCTGAGTAAAAACATTTTTCTTTGTAAAAGGGTCTCTGTAACAGAGATCAAGCTCCTGACTTGGCCCCTTCCCCTCTAACACTAACTTCCTGTGCTAGTATTGCAAAGCTCTTCTGACCCCTGCATTTGCTCACCTGGAGGGGCAGGATTAGAGACACTGGTGATAGTAGGGAACACTGCAACTTTGTACAGAGAAGGTAGGAGTTCAAGTCCCTGTGGAAATTTGATTTTATTTTTTAAGAGGAAGTGTCCTACTGAGCATTACTAAAAGGGGTGAGACAAGGTATAATGAGTTACGTTCAGAGGACAGGGATGTCCCTAATTCAGCTAGCAAAAGAGCATCAATGGAGATGCCTTAAAATGAATGTACCCAATTCAAATATGTAAGAAGTGGGTGTGAGTTACACACACCACGTTTAAGAATAGTAACAGAGCAGAATGTAGACATGACAGCTCCTTGAAAACCAAACAGGATGAGGGTGTTGAGTACAGGAGACTAAAGCAGAGTATGAACAGATGGGAGGAAAAGGAAAACCATGCTGGCTATGGAATATTTGGAAGATTTCCTGCTTGAAGCACAGTGTGGGTTACCATCATCTGCTTTACAGCAGTCAAACTGAAGCACCACCAATATAGTAGCCTACACCAACCAGCCAAACCACACTTACATTTTTACAACTTCATCTGCTGTTGAACCCACCGGAACTACATTGGGATACACATTCACAGGGCAGATATAACCCAAGAAATCCTTAATCTAAATAAGGGGAAAAATAGCTTATTACTTACATTGAAATATATATATATATATATTCGTAAGACTACCCCAGGGCAATACAGATCACAGCACATACACCAAAGGATGTGTTTTGCCAACAGCTTCAAAGCTGACCAATCAGCACAGCTCACATTCTGGAACCGTGTCAAAGTGGACAACTAGACTATAATTTAAATAAGAAAATATTTTTCTTATGTTTCTTTTTTTTTATTATTATTTTTTAAATTAAAAGTTTCCCTGCCCTTTCCCTTGCACTATTAAAATCATCTCACTGGTATTTTAAAACTGAAATCTACTTCCCTAGGGAAGTGAATTGTCCTCCATTGCATATGTATTGGTTCATGATTGGATGGTTATTTGTCAGCATTAACCTGGGTTTTTTTAAATGGTGGAAGAAACATTTGTATTGTCCTTTTAAATGAAGCCTCATGATCCTGTACAAAGTGTTGTGATAACACAGAGGTAGGAATTCCCTATGGCACAATTTGTATCAACAGTGACAGCCGGGATATGGAAAAGTTGTATGCTCTGTTCTCTCTCCAGAGCAACAGAAACGAATAAACAAGCCAAATGCAATACCTAGATGTTTCCCATTAGAAATGCAAGTTTTGTCTTGTATTCTGTAACATTTAAAAAAAAAAACCAAAAAAAAAAACAAGCCATACTTAATTATAGTAGTAGCCCAATCAAAAAAGATTGGAACTAGAAAAGGTTCAGAAAAGGTCAACAAAAATTATTAGGGGTATGGAACAGCTTCCATATGAGGAGCAATTAATAAGACTGGGACTTTTCAGCTTGGAAAAGAGACTACTAAGAGGGGATATGATAGAGGTCTATAAAATCATGACTGGTGTGGAGAAAGTAAATAAGGAAGTGTTATTTACTCCTTTTCCTAACACAAGAATAGGGGTCACCAAATTAAATTAATAGGCAGCAGGTTTAAAAACAAACAAAAGGAAGTATTTTTTCCACACAGCCAACCTGTGTAACTCCTTGCCAGAGGATGTTGTGAAGACCAAGACTAACAGGGTTCAAAAAAGAACTAGATAAGTTCATGTAGGATAGGTCCATCAATGGCTATTAGCCAGGATGGGCAGGGATGGTGTCCCTAGCCTCTGTTTGCCAGAAGCTGGGAATGGGCGACTGGGCATGGATCACCTGGTGATTACCTGTTCTGTTCATTCCCTCTGGTGCACCTGACATTGGCCACTGTCAGAAGACAGAATACTGGGCTGAATGAACCTTTGGTCTGACCCAGTATGGCCTTATGGTTCTTAATCATATGTAACTGCTAGAGAAAATGATGTTAGCCCTGATATTGGGCAGGATTACAATATTGGCTTGCCACAACTATGTTGCAGCATGGTTGTTTTTACAGTGCCTTGATCCCTACCTTTTCAACACACTGTCCCCCTCATCACCAGACAACTTGTACCAAAGCTTGACAAGTCAGAATGCAACAACCCCTACTCTAAAGTGAACAAAAATGACTTCTAACATCCATTCCTGAAGCAAACATCATTGTACATACCTCACTGTAAGAGGAATGAAAAGAGAAGCAAGCTCTGTATGAACTCTCCCCAGTCCTATAGAGAGACATGGCAAAATAAACACTACTTTTCCAGTTAGTAGTTGCAAGTTTCTTATCAGTAAGTGAAGACTATCAAATTATAAGGGAAACAAGGGTGCTCTGCGTAAATCCATTTTAAGGCACAGCAAAGTGGATACTGAACATGCATCCTCAACTGCACTTCTTTGAGCACTAACCAGTTAACTGCTATGTAAGCACATTCTACTACAATAAGCAAACTCAAAATTGCCAAACTTATTTCAGCTGCAGTTTAAGTAGACTTTTGGAAGTGTTTCAAATTCCAGAGAGGACTACATAGCTGTGCACAACTCAGGCAAAGCATTAGTGAGCACCCAAATAATGGTTTTATTCATAGCCCAAATGCCTTGATAATACTCTGCTCACCTTACTATTATATTGGTTTTTCTTGTCCTCTCTCCAAACCACATTGTGGAAGGTTTGACGCTAATTATACGTAAAGGGGTTCCATTTCGGGAAGTCATTCCACAAGGCAACCTATTCCCTCGAAGATAGTCATCATCCTATCAGACAAGAGTATCAAATGAAAAACAGAGGCAATGCAATCATGCCCTTTCGATCCCTATGTCATTTAACTATGTCTTAACGTACAATTTGTATGGGAACATGAGCAATACCATATCTGATCAGACCAACCTTCCAACTAACCTCCTCCACCTCTACTGGAAAGAAAGTCTTGAAAGACTATGTCCTCTCCAACCTATCTTGGTTCCTTCCCATTATCAGACTGGCTTCCTCAGATGTAGTACTGGGCCCTGCCTGCAATGACCCTGTAGGCTGTCTAATCCCATCTATCCTCCTCCAGTTCAGAACTTCACCTTCAAGATGCTGTACTCGGCTCTGAGGGTCATGAGCTTTTTGAAAAAGTGCACTCATACACCACTTGGCCACAGAGCAGGTAATCATATATTCTGCTTTATGTGCGTTGGCTTACAATAGTTTAGTCTCCTGTGGTATACTTTGGTCCAATTTCCATTGTTGGGTTTAGCATGTGGGTACTAGGTGGTGTTGGTGGCCTAATATACAGGGTGTCAGACTAGATGATCTGGTGATCTCTTCTGGCCTTAAACTAGAAATAGTTTAGCCTCCCCACCACCACCACCACACACACCCCGTTTAATCTGAATTTGGTCTTCCTCCTCCAGAAGAAAACTGGGATTTTTATTCCAGATACTAGTGACACCTGGGACTTGTTGGTGCCAACTGGCAGAGGGTATAGGGGGTGCAAAAGGTTTTACAGGGATCCCCTGGGTCAGATATATATATATATATGCATATTAGTTCACAAAAGGGTGGCATGTAAGGTCTCAATTGAGAGCCAGTATCCTACTGGTCATAATCATTGCAAAATTTATATACAGATAATATTTAAGAAGTTATGCATCTATACAGAAAATTATGTTAAGGGTTTGGGATTACGGCAGGTGACATACCTCAGCAACATGCCTTTCAGGCAGGTGGTAACAGATGCTTATCTCCCTGTCAGGTCATATGTGTACTGTACCGCCTCACCACATATGTCTATTTGTATACTGAGCCTAGAGCTAATCAAGAGATTGCAAAATCAACAAGAAAGGAAAGCCACAGGAAGAAACGATCAGCAAGGGGTGTCCTGTTTAGGAATAAGGACAAAGGATTGTTCTGATAAGTCTACGAGTATCAAGAGACACCCTGAATCCTTCACCAAGGAGACAAGCTAACTGCCTGCTTGTCTTATGAAAGGAGAGTCAAAGCCAGCCTGGCTGTATAATACTGAAAGGATTTTGGGCGAGCATTACGCTACAAGACATGACAGCATCCAGTTAATTCAGTCTGTGTTTTAAAACGCATGTTATGATTTTATTTTATGTGTAACCATTTGTTTCCAATTACTTCTACCTGCTATTGCTTGAATCTCCATGGTTTGTTAAATAATCTTCTACTTGATTTCACTATAAACACATCTAAGTGTTGTGTGGTAAGCAGCGTGATGATCTGAGTGGAACTGGTTAGCTGGGGTGGACTGTTTTTTGGAAGCCACGGATCCAGGAATACTATGAAAGTTCAGGGGCTGGATGTTCCAGGAAGATGCTTGGAGGGTTTGATGGTTGGAGTGTATCTATTGCTAATGGGGGAGGGGGGGGGAAGAGAGAGAGAGAGAGAGAGAGCGCACAGCCTATGTAAACTAAGAGGGAAGTGCTTGTGTTGCCCATGACCGGTGGAGCTGGGGAGCTGACCACCAGCAGGCACAAACAAGGCTTCCTCATGCTAAAGGCAGGTGGCTTCTGAGGTGCCTCACAGCCCTGGGTATCCCCTGGAAGTATCACAACTAGGTTTTAAATATGAAACTAAATTTTTTGTTGTTGTTTGACTAACTTTTCCTTTACTTTAGTCCATTAACTACTGGCTCAACTTCTTACTCCACTCAGTACTGTACTGACACTTTGTGTGAACTTCCTCGGGGAACTCTCTGCTTGAGAAGGTTAATATCGTACACAATAGTGTCTGCAATCACTCGTTTTAAAAAGAAAGTTTACAGTTGATTTACAAAATGATACGCACCCGTGGATGTCGACATGCATGAATCTGAGTGTGCCGATCCGTGGTAATATGGTAGAGGATTTCCGGCATGTTTTTGAACATGTCCAGTTTGTTCACATGGACCTAAAGAAAATATATTTAGTCTTGTAAGTAGCTTCATGCATTTAACAATGTGGAGTTGGACTATATCAATAACCGCTCAGCAGGAGTAAATCTGCTACCAGAAATACTAGCAGAGACCAAGAAAAAGAGAATGGTCAATTACTCAGACATTATCAGCAAGGGAAGCAGAGCTAAAGATTTGGCACATCGTTGGCTAACGTCTACAACAAGTAGATACTGTATATTCTAGGAAGGATAGGAACTCCCTGAACATACTCAGTGACATCCACTGCCCACCAATATCAGGATCTTACTTCTCATATGTAGCCCAGCAACTCCCCACCATAGAATTCCTTACAGGGCATTCCATGGCTGCCATAGGGTAAAGGGTAGAATGTGTGTCTTGGAGAATCAGGATTAACTTCTGACTGGAGAACCCAGAAGTCTGAGTAGATAGCAGCCACTGAAGTGGTTTAGTTGGCATGGTTACTATGCACCCCAAAAGCTCATTTACCAGATTACCATTAGTATAGTGAACAAAAGTGTGCAAACCTTTCAGACACTGCAGAAGTCCTCTGAATGGTCATTTTCCAGGTCAGTATACTGCTCACAATCAGCACTGAGGTTCTGTTTATAAAGCAGTTATTATGAAAGTGTTACCTTGACTCCAAGTTCTTCACTGAGGTTTGTGAATAAATATTCATATCCATAGGCAGCTTTGCAATTTAGCCATACAACATGATAGCGACTCAGAGTGATCCAGCTTCGCACTAACTCTAATATCCCATTTAAACATTCCTCCTAAAAAGGTTAGAAAAGTTTGTGTGTTTAACTTTGTAGATGTAGCCAAGTCACCGGACTTCAGAAATGTTTTAGATCAGTGTTTCTCAACCTTGGGGGTCATGACCCCAAAGGGGTCCCGGGGCATGTTCAGGGGTCACAAACAGAGCAGTAGCCTTGGGCCCCATGCCACAGGAGGCTCCACAAAGCTAATTTACATGTTTCAGCCCAGAGCCCTGAGTTTAAGGTATGGCATCACTATTTTGGGGGGGGTGTGCGGCAGGGGGGAGGAGTCCAAAGGGGGTCGCCAGCACAAAAAGGTTGAGAAACACTATTTTAGATCATGTGTTTAAAAAATTGTTGCCTTTCAGGATTATACAAAGACAAAACACTGATTCATTACATCAATGGCTTCATGTGCCTCCAGCTGAAGCTTGATTGGACTTACTCTGCTTGGGATCTGATAAAATCTGGGATCACAGAAAGTGGTGTCTAAATACACACTCTGAATGTCTTTCACTCTGAAAGAGAAAATTGAGATTCTGTCATATCAAATACTGCATCGCGATACCCAGGCGTGCCCCATTGACTGATCTAGTCAGAAATTTCTGTCTATTTGAAAATGGAAAAAAAAAAATTCCATTATGGAAAATGGTGAGTCAAGAGGCCAGATTCTAAACTCTGATTATAGTAACACAAGTTAATTGCCCACAGATTGGGCAAGAGTACAAGCAATTCTTCAATAATGTAGTGCAAACGCCATATAAAATAGGTATTAGAATAGCAATGCAACACATAGATCTTGTATTGTACTATTACTTATGGTGGTATTTATGTCATTGGGGAAACTGCTAATCTCAGCCTATAAGTGCAATATGAACATACAGACTGTAAATACAGAAACAAGTCTATTGGTGATTTTAAAGATACAGTGATTTGGGAAAATACAGGGATTCCCTGTGTTTTCTTTAACACATGTCATTAACATTGCTGTTATCAAAATCACAGATTCAGAGGTTTGATACATTAAGGTAATTGAAGAAATTTTAAATAAGCCATAACTCAAATTGCAATACTTGTAACTGATTTAATACATTTTACAACACAGTAAAGTTAGATTTGTGTCTTATTTCAGATTCTTCTGTAGACTCTTACAGTACTAACATACGGATCTTTTAAACTAGCTTCTGTGGTAGCAGTTTTCAGGTCCGTGAAAGCCACCTCCTTAGCAAGAGGAATATGGAGTCATTAGAAATGATTTCTGAGAGTCAATTATCATAGAAACACCTTGCTAAGAACTACATTTTTAAAACCACAAATTTATGTGGGAGCTGAAGGAAAAAGATGTCATAAGTCTTGAATGTCTATGACTAGAGAGTCTCCAAGTCTTTCTAAATTTCACACCCAGATGAATTCTCACCAGAAAAAAATAATTTAAGATTTTTATGAATTTTTGTACCTGGTCCCCGAATGCAAGAGCTCCATTCTGGCTGCTTCTCCTTTTGCTAGTCTGAAATCTCCAGTATAAAGTACAGTGCCATTTTGGCCTTGAAACAAAAACCTAGAAATAAAAACACTAGTTAATGACAGTAACACAAAGTACTGCAATTGTTGGGCTCGATGATCATTTCATTTGGAGAAATCTGTGCAAATGCAGAGTTTCAGAGAAAGCCCATGATGCAGTAAAGGTAATGGGCCAGATTTATCCTTGCAGTAATTTCACTGAAACTGAACTACAGAAATACTAAATTTGGTCCAGTGAATCGAAGTCTGCTTTCACCCACGTCCAACCTAATTGCAAACTATTATGGAGTTTATAGCAAGGGTAGAATTTGGGCCCAGGTGCATATTGTAGCCACCAGTCCCAGAAATTTACCATTGAAGCTATGCTTACAATGAACTCGTTGTTTAATTTTAATATCACACTGCATCAGAGGATACTTTATTTTACTAAGTTCTTGCATTGCTTTTTTAAATACCGCTGCAGTCTTGAAAGGTACTTATTTGTTGGAGTGGGAAAAATAATGTTCCGCCTCACTGGGACAAATGAAAAATCTTGTAACAAGGAAAAACTAGAGAACATACACATGCACAAACCAAACAGTTTAAAAGTATCTTTTTTTTTTTTCAGTAGTAGCCAGAATTTCCCATCCTTTTCCAAGCAAACACCACTGATGTCAACTGTGCTTTGCAGTAAGATTTAAGAAGCTTAATATAGGATCAGAGTCTAGAAGAACCTAACTAGGGACAGACTGGATTTCTACATAGATTGCTTCCGTCGACGT